TTGCCCCTATAGAGTAACAAGATGCACTGTTACAGCTCTCCACACCTGTAGGTACATGCTAGGCTGTGTTCCCCTCCTGTCAGCACATGTGGAAGTGTGCCTTGCCTCTAAACATCACCTTGAGAGCTGTTTTTCTCCTATGATCGCATGCCAAAGTATGTCACAGCCTTGCAGTCACATACTAGCCTGTGCTCCTGTCCTACAAGTGCAAACTGAAATGCACCTTCCCGCTAACACTAACCCTCTTCTGCTCACACGCTATGCTGTTCTTTCCTTCCGTAGCTGCATTCCAAGGTAAACACTCGGAGGAAGCCTCAGTTCCTAGGCGTGTAAATGTCGTCTTGCACAGTCGGTGCCTATCGCAGCTCCCTGACAAGTAACTAATTTCTATAGATGAACAGGACTTCATCTTCTCACTAGATGACCACGATGGGCCAACTTTTGTTTTTGTTTCACATTAAGAGAAACAGAAATCTGTGTCCTTTGGTAGACATATTGAGGAATTAATATTAAGATGAATATTAATAGACTAAGGGGATACAAAATGAAAAGGTTACAAATCTAAAAAATCTCCTACCCTGCTGAGTACTCTGAGTATGTTTAAATTCACTACAAGTAGATCTAAAGGGGAATTGAAGGGGTGTTCCTGTATATTACAGCTCAAAGTCTAAATGAGAATAACAAAGATAGAGCAAGCATCCCGCATGAAGACAAAGTGTATGAGCTTAAACCATTCATGGAACTAAGAGAAAAAAGATACTACCTATTCATTTAATTGTACTGGGTTTATGTTTATGCATGACAAACAGAGTTCAACTAAGGACTTGACTTAATAGTCAAAGCAGTGTAGGATTGTAATTAGACAAAATATAAAGCTGCATCAGGCTACTAGATCAGATAACGGCTAAGAAACTAACCTTGACAAGGTAAATGTTTTGCTGAGGAGGATTAGATTTTGGTTTGATGGTAAGATAAGTAGCTGGCATATTACTGAACTGCACACGTCCAAAGGTTTATGATATTACATGATATTATAATATAAATCTACTGTAATATTAAGATATATAATTATAAAATGCCCTTTCAGGCTTTGGGTTTCTCACGTTCCCACTAGGCTTGGTGTATGTGGAGTTCCCCGAGTTCCTGGTTCTTTCCCACAATCCACGGTAATTTTGCTGATCTGTAGTCTGAGACGTGGTATGAATCAGAGTACAATAAATTTTTCCGAACCATTTACAGGAATTTTATCAGTATTTCCTTGTGATATGCGTGATACAAAATACGGGATTTCTTGTGTCATCATCTCACAAATCAGAGGGCTTGAAGACAGCTCACTTTGTGGGTCAGTGCATTCACCTCACCCTGAACGCTTCTCTATGTCACATTACTGTTGCAGTAAGGAAATGAGATCATGAACATTACTACCATCCTCATTTGAGTAATGTCTTGAGGATGTAGCACGTGGGCAATTTTCAGTGATATTAATTTTGGGGAAATTTGTAGGGAATTTTCCGGCCATACAGAATGCCAGCCATTGAATATGATGTTATAATGGTTCACCTGTCGTAAGTGTACTGTTATGCGGCATCTAACAAATACAGAATAATAGTGTAACCCAGATCAAATACATCCCTGGGGAAACATACTTTGCCTTGAAAAACTCACTCTTTTTACTCAGCTCTCTTATGAACTACTGGAAAGCAACTTCAGCCGGCAAAACACGTTCCTCTAACAACAATGGTCCATCTGCGTCGGATAAACCTGAGGAAACTTGACGGCATCTGACCTCACTTTCCATACGAAGTCCTTCTGAGAAATGAGGTTACCTAAGGCAGCTACGGAACACCGAGGCTGATGAGATGCAGTGACATTGACCTGTGTGGCTCGGCGTGTTGGTCAGCGTGTGGCCATGTGGACTTTCACGTGTCCCCTGATCTGTGTGTGCGTGCGTGTGTCCCCACAATGTAATGAAAACATGTTGTTTTGATGTTATGGGGACCATTTCTCAGGTCCCCACAAAGAGCTATGATGGCAATCAAAAAACTAAAAGTGTCGTATTTTGTTTGATTACTTATACAGTAGTTAAACTTAGGGCTGGGTAGGGGTTAATGTTGTCATGTTGTGATTAGAATTTTCCCCATAGAAATTAATGGAGAGTCCCCACAAAGATATGAGTGTGTGTGTATGTGCGTGTGTGTGTGTGTGTGTGTGCGTGAGTGGGGAGACAGTGTTACATCAGTAACACTTAAGGCCATGGTTTTAGTCATTTATAAACAAATTCGTAACAAATAATAATGCATTCATAAAGCATTATAAACATGGATATAAATGTTTATAAATAAGACATAACACATTATAGCCATGTGTATTATGCCTTATGACTGTCTTGTATCTTCTATAATGCACTATATATAGATAAAAACACGGGCAAGTTAAATGTTACTGCTACATCCAATGGTGGGAAAGATCCTAAAAAGCACACATAGATAAAACATCCGAGGGGACGCTAATATCCTGCCACAGGTTAAATTCCACAGCACATTATGGCATAAACGCTGCACAAAGGTTTGCTTAAATTAGACATGTGACTGTATCACTGTACCCTCCTGTGTAACATGCATCGAGGCCCCTATCCTAAGCCAGAGGCACACTTGGCTTCGCTATCGCCCCGTTTGCATCCCCTTTGGGAGTCCAGGGTGTGTATTGTCTCTATGCAGAGGGATGTGGGAGGTGGGGGAAGTGGCTTGTTTGTCTCTCTGAATGCTGAGAAAGCACAGAGTTGCGCCGTGAGCCTGGGTGCAGCCCCGCGGCCTGGCATTGTTTCACCGGCGCCGCGAGATCCCCAGGCTTCCCCCCCAGGAAGCCAGATCTGGACGTGGATACGGCAGTAACGCGGGTCGGCAACGAGGGGAAGAACCCGCCGCTTCCAGCCTCTGCCGGCATTACGTGCAAGATCACAATAACAGCAGCGACCAATATCTGATCAACATTTCTCAGGTCATATCAGGTCGGCTGTTTGCATTCCTCGTGCCTTTGGCTAGGACTCCAATCCCTCTGGCTTTTATTTCAGGTTTATAACCAAGGTCTGACATGCTACATTGCACCACCTGAGGTATTTAAATAAAGATAAATCACAAACGTGAATCTAAATGAACTTTTATTTTTTTCCACTGCAACAAGAAACGTTTGATTGTTTGCGTAGTTTGTATCTGTTTTGTGTGGTGAGATTCCACGTGTATCACAGTATCCAGAAGTTTGTCTAAAGATCATATTTCATATTTATGCAGTTCACAGGTACAGTTTGCATAAGTTTTAATGCACAGGGACTGAAGAATGCAGGTACAGTACAGCTTGAGTACTGATTTGATCACTTTATTGGCTCAGCTACTCGTGATCTTCTCTTTTAGTCAGAAACTACAGTCCCCAGCGAGAATATACACGTCTGCCTCAACAAACCAATTCTGTTCTTGATTAAATACAATGCTGTGTTTCAATAACAATTAGCTCTGGCATTTAGGTTTTGTTCAGATGTATGTGTTAAAAGATCAGGCGAACTCTTCAGAATGATGATGTCAAAGGCATTCTTCTTGGGACAGAATGAATCTATCCAGCTAAGCTTTAATAAAAAGGTCATCGCTGTTGTAGTCGCTGCAATGATCATTATCTCTGTCACGTCCCCGTCGTCTGGCTGCTACAGGAAGGGGAATTCCGCTCTGGTCACTGACTAACGTGCCATTCCTAACATTAACAGTTTATTTTTAAAATTGGCTGGATTATATAACTCCATTGCCCACCACACAGGAGCTGCCATCCTACGGACAGCCAGATTCACCTCTACAGGAAATCGTGTGAAATGCGATGCTGCAGAACAATAAGACATTTAAAATACCTATTTCATGAATAAAAGACCAGCACAAATATAGGCTACTATGTACGATATTATCAATAATTTGTCAGATAAAAACTTTCAGAGTACTTGAGAAAGACGGGTACCGGTGTGACGCTGGCATTTACAAGAATAAAATGATCTCATTACATTTCATTCCACTGATGATGAGAATGATGTCGGTGACTAAACTTTCATAAATATCCCCAGGCAACAATCCATCATAAGTATGTGTTGCAACACATCACAGGTAGCTTCTTAAAAATCCAAAAACATGACCTGTAATGTGTAGGACAGACTTTCTGTTCTGTGAAATATTCATCATATTCTGAGGAATGCGCTTTCCCATTATATAACCACAGCACAAACTCATGTGTTCGGTCCTGGTCAGCGTCAGATCAAACCCATTAAATTCCATGTTTATGGATCAGGATACTCAGTCTTCTCAAAAAAGCAACTTGTTTTGACGTCTCATACAAAGAACATTACAGTTCAGTTATTCCTATAATTATATTATAATTATCTATACAGTTTAATTAGAACAAATTATGTTATATTAAAGTGTATCTCTTTGAACTTTTGAGTATCAAACAAAAAGGTTTTTAGCCTTTGAGTCAGAACTGCCAGGGTTATCGTATACAATAATCTAAATTGAGATGTACATAGAGAATGGTAATATTTAACCGATTGTGACATCATCACAGCTCAGCACTGTGGGAACCATTTCAGCATTCAGTCTTCGAGACAATTATCGAGGATCAAAGCAGCTGACACTGTAGGCATTTAAGGGGAGGAAGTCCTTAGAACGGGAGCCTGATCTCCACCAACATTTGAGGATGTGTAATGGCCGGTTTTTATTTCCTGCTTTGACTGAAGCAGGAGTTAATCTCTGATGGCTAGGCCACACCCCTGCCAAGCACGATCATGCGAAGGGCCTGCGTGACTGCCTGTCATCATTACTTACTAGTAAAAACAAGTCGATGATCCCAAGCGGGGGGCTTCCCTCCCCTTTGCATGTTGCGAGACCCCTGACCTCTTTCTGAGGTGACTGACAAATGCAAGAAGAAACAAAGCCAAGCTTCAATGAGCTTTAATGACAGACTGTTAAGGTTAGAATAGCGTCACTGCCATACTACTGAGATCATATCAGATGAGACCCAGGGTGGCCCCTCAGTAAGGCTGGCCTTGTCTTCTGCCTGAATTTACTCTACCCATATCCAAATACTTCATTCGATCCAATTTTACGAATGCAAGGCTGCAAAAAAAAAACGCAAGGATATGCAACCGTTAACCTCATGTTTTACATGGGACAGTAAAACATTTGCACATTAACTGGAGAAAGTTGGACCAAGGACAGAGGATATATTCTTCCACCCCAAAAGGCTTCCTCAAGGAAACCGCTATTTGAGGAAGATAAACAACCAAAAAAATAATTCATATCTGTCTGGTACAAATACATCATTACTCATTTCTTCACAGTATCCTGTCATGCTGTGCACTGTGAAGAGAATAAGTAGGTTTAAATATAAAAACTTAAAACATATTCTGTTTAGCTGGCATCCTGTCCAGAATGTTCCTGTGCCTAGTGCCCTCTATTTCCTGGAAAATGCTCCAGCCGCCCCCCCCACCCAACCCCCCCACGCCCCCCGCCAATTCAGGATAAACGATGGAAGGATGGGTTAATAATTATCTTTAACTGGAAGGATATGTTACATCCAAGACTGATTTTCACATATGAAACTAATCCATGTTCTATATAATACAGGGTTAACATTAATATGTGGTTCACAAAGATCTTTTGAACCTTAATAGTTATATTTAGTGGTGGGCACGGCTAACCAAAATGTTAGCTTCAACAAACGCTAATCCACTAATTCCAAAGTTTAACTTGATAATGTGATAGCAGAACAAATACATTTGATTTTAGAATTTACAAATTTTCTTGACCGTGTACAAATGTTAGCGGATTTACAGTTTGTAGAACATTTAGTGGAAGCTAATTGGTTCGCAACCTGATTTTAGTGGAAACGTTAATCCGCTAACGAAAAAGTTAGCTTCACCAATGAGCGCTTAGCGGATTTGCAGAACCCTGCCCACCACTAGTTACATTATTGTTCATCTTATATTTTGGTCAGTGACAGTTCATCATTCTTGCCATCATTACTCCTTTTATTTGTATTTTTCATATGTATTTGTTTTTTTTAACCAAAGTTTTTACAAACCTTATGTAAAATGCTCTGCTCCTATCTGTGTGCATGCTGGAGGGGGGGATTCACCCTCTTATGCCCTTTGACAGTGCACAGCTGTGATAACTGTAGGCCAAAAACTAGATATTACATAAAAAAAACACACTTAAAAAAAATACATTAGGAGGCTTTTATCGGTCATAATTACTTGCCAATGCAGCAGTTATAACACAAGTCTAATTTGGTTATTTTATTAAATGTGTCATTCTTCAGCAAAAGACAACAGTACCAAAGTAATCTCTGCAGATGACTGGGTAAACAACCTCACAAATATCAATATATTGAAATATACATTCCTAATACAATTTTGGCAGAATAATTCTTTAACCTGGAGAACTATTTTAAAAAAGCTGTTTCAAAAACAGGTATGACAAAGACACAAAAAGGGAAGGCCCGGTCAATTCGTGCTGTACCACCACCACAGAAAGTCCCGTCATGCAGATGGTCACGTACCAGACAGCAGAGCCCCCGTTGTGCCAGAAGCCGCTCTTGTGAGTTGTCTCCCTACACAAATATCTGCCCCGCCTGCCTATTCACAGCGCAGGGAAAGTGCCCTTTCAGGAGCGACGCCTTCACGGACTGCTGACTACGCCTCGACCAGGGCCAATAAAAAGGCCCACAAACAGTGGGCTCCAGCCTGGAGGAGTAGGAAGCTCAGGCCGGGTCATTAGGGCCACTCAAGCCCATTAGCATGGCCTCCCCTTTTCACCCATCTTGACGCATTTTTTTTTCCAGCTTTTGAAAAAATGAAGGTTTGTCGATTTGAGAACTGCAGCCCAGAGAGGGCCGGCAGTGACCGAGCTCTGCCCGAGTCGCATGGCTAGTCTGTTGTAATGAGGCTGGGGAGCTGCGGGGGGAGGCTTATTGTTGCTGGTTTTTCTGAACTTTTTTGTGTTAAACTTTGACTCCTCAGCGGCTGGCTCAGTGCGGCAAGTTTACATCCATCTTAATGAGAAGCAATTAGCACAATGGGGCCAGACAGACACATCCGGCTCGGTCACTGTAACATGTGCGTGTCTGTGTACATGTAACGTTGGTGTGGACAACCTCCCATGTCACGAATAACTTCACCTTCAAAGAATGACACTTATGAAGGTATTCAATGTTTCTCAATCTACTGAGAGAGTCAGGCTGAGATCCTGGCTGAAGAAACTGCAGAGACAATCTCCTACAGTCAATCCAAAAAAAAAGGAAATTATATTTCCTATAGACTGCTAGAATTAATGTCAATAAGGAAAACCCAGCTTCATACTCAGCGGCCATTTTCATTAGTAGCTCTGACCAGACATTCAGTTCTCGAGCAGATGAGGTTTTCCTACATGACACCTCGATTTCTGTACCGTGTTTTTGTATTTTGACATTTCTCTTACCATTCTGCTGCCAGAATTTGACTTACTGGCTAGACTATGCCAGAGGCAAGACTTGTGTAAGAAGTAATCCATGGATAACTTGATATTTTAATGTGTTTTTATGGAGACATTACGAATGAATGATCAATAATATTACTTGCAGTGATAAGGCATTTCTATGCATTTTTAAGTTTCATTTACCTGATATGTTTAAAAAAACACAAGTACTATTTAACCACTCAATATGTACAAATGCCTATATCAAATTTAAAATAAATAAATAAATTTTGATCACACTGTCATTCAGGCTGTTGTGGCTTTTCTGCTAGCTTTAACCAAACATGTTGCATAACTGACAATATGAATACTTGAAATATATTAAATTAAGAATAAAGTAACGATTTAAAACGTCTTGTGTTAATATCCAGTATGACTCTAACATTAAGGTGCAGCAGCTTAAGTCCAAGTACATTACCATGCATTCTCTTAAAATCACTTATCGAACTGAGGGATACTGACAAGAAAATTTATATCATATTTTATGGTTTTCAACTGTAAAAAATAATTAAAATAAAATTAGAAAATGGTAAAGCTGTGTTCAGTAATTAGATTACAGACTCAGTGAGACATATTGCGTCTGGAAGCTAAATTCAGAGGGAAAAAAAAAAAATTTAGACTGGTGACAACATGCTCATATTACTAGCGAGAAATATTACAGGCCTATCTACTACAAAAAAGGAGCAGCCCTCTGACAGATGAGCGTCAGGGATCAGAGCTCTGGGCCCTAATGGCTGCCAGGAAAAGTCATTTCCACGTCAGAGGCAACACCTCTGAGAAAAACCACAGACAATTTGCCCCCAGCAGCTGAAAACAGCACACAATTAACCAATGTGGAAAATCAGGCCTTTATTTTGACTGTTCATTCAGTTTTAGCTAATGTGGCACCATCACTATAATAAATTTAGTAATTGTTCGTATAAAATAAGCAGGATAGTCAGATGGGAATATTATTCGTTACATAATCTTTGAGCAGCTCAGTGGGCTAAGTCTCTGTTACCGTGATCTGAAGATCGCTGGTTCAAGCGTCGGTAGAATAATCATGTCTGTGGGGTCTTGAGCAAGGTCCTTAACCCCCAGCTCCAGGAGTGTCCCCTGTCAACTGGCCCTGTGCTATGACCCCCCAAGCCGTGGAGAGCAAAATGCGGTAAACAGAACCATTCCAAAGTACTTACACAAACAGAAAACAAAGGATTTATTGCTATTTTACCACTTCCAGATAATTTTGGATCGAATGCAGTCTTACCCATGGTTCCCATATCTCCACTCTATTAAAATAACATGTCCTGAACATAGTTCTAAAATCTCAACAACAGTTAAGCCCCAGGGTGAACACACCTCCCATGTGTACCGAAATATTACTGCGGCTGCTTTCTGACCTGCCCTGCACAAGCATTCATGCACAATCAGATGGCAGGCAGCCCTACCAGTGAGACAACGGCAGCTCATTCCCCTCTGATGCCAACGAGACGCAGACATTGTCCTCAGTTCAAGCGGTTACTTGGCTTCACACCAGAGATATCAAAACAAAAGAGCTGTTGGCAGGATCAGTCACAGAAAGAGGCAAGCAGGCAGGTATTGGTTCACTTTGAAATAGGGTGACCAGATAATACATGCAGGGAGGACACTTTGATCTAGCTCAGAATTTTAAAGCAACCATTTCAATTAAAATGACCTGGATTTCACTTAAGTACTGAGTTCTTGCTGTGTGCTGGTTGGCCTGTCTCCTATAATCATGCATGCATCACTCATGTTAATGTGAAACAGCTGGATGAGTCTTTCAATCAAGGAAGGAAACCAGTCAAAGCACAAGAAGAACGTAGTTTGTAAAACCAGCAGTAGCACAAATTGTCTTCCCTGACATGGATTATCTGGTCACTGTACTTTTAAGAATTCACGGGGAGGTTCACTAATTTCACATTGTTAGAAAGATGTGAATAAATGAATAAAATTTAAAGTAATGGACAGATGTAAAGAGACGTATTGCTGTTTCAACACACCATACAGGTTGTACATGGGGCTGGGGTATTTGTCTGGTGGCCTGTGTTATATGGAGAGCTGTAGTTCATATGAGAGGAATATAACCTGGTGTATTAAATAAGGGTTACAGTGACATTCAAGTGATTGTTGTAACACATGCTATTTGAATATGACTCTACAACATGTGCAATTCTCTATGGCAGAGAGGCTGAGCTATTGACAAGATTTTTAGCAGGACAAATCAATCCTATGAAAGTTATGTGAGAAATCTTTCAGGTGAAATTCTCAATACAACTAAAGCATTTTTTGTTGGGGGGGGGGTATGGAATGTAATTGTTCTGATTCGTGCCCACTGGTGTAAACATACACAAACACCACCTTCTGACTATGGGTTGATTTCACTTCATAGTATCTGACAAGGTCAGCACATGGTTACATACTCCCCTGGTTTACAGAGGGTTAAAAACTGTGAAAATCCCAGAGTGAAGCCCCCAAATCCTTCTGTCAGCCTTTAGATGTGGGTTCAGGGACAGTTCAGCTTGCCGGCTGTGGTGGGTGTTTGTGTGGGCTGCGGATCATGGGAATTGTTATGTGTCACATCCAGTCACGAGTGTTCAGGCTGATTTGGGGGCGATAATGCTGGCGAAGAAGCTGAACCCCTATTGCTGTGGAGCCAAACACAAAGGAGCTGAGGGGTGCACATGTGATGGTCTGAGGGGGATGCAGCGTTCACACGCCACCCTCCTCTGGTTATCAGCCAGTCTTGTCTGCCCCCACCCCTTCTCTCCCTAACACCTCCCCTATCCTGTGCCCCCACTCCGGAAGGTAACACATGAGTGACACTCATATGATAATAATCATAATTAACCGTGATTATAAAGAAAATGCTACGGTTTCTTCAATTTTAATGTTCTATTAAACTATAAATAAATCCTGAACATTATCACTGTAAAACTGAGAACTTTCCCCATAAAAAATCTTAAGAGTCGCATGTTAGTGTACATAGCAAAAAAATGGCCCAAAGTTTAATGTTGTGCAATTAGGGTTTGGCTCATTTTATTTGCCCAGTGTACATGATGTTCCTGTGTCTTTAAACGAATGCATCATATATGAGGAAAAACATCTCCCAGTTGTACTGATACCACACCCATCAAAGGCAGATAATGCAGTTAATCTATTAAATATATGAACAATATTTAATGACAGTACATTAATATAACATAACTAAAGTACTGTTATTTTCACTGATCACTGTTCACAAACCCCAGTTGGACCAGAAAAAGTCAAGCAGAAGTTAGAAAAACCGTAATAGACGTGAAATAAAATTATGATGTAGTGTACAAGATTGTTTCAATGTAAAGGTAGTACATTAAAAGACAGACCACTAAAAGATAGTACAAGAGAGACATTAAAAGAGTGCTAAAAGATATCACACATGCTGTGTGAACCAGGCCCATGAGGGGAGATCTGAGTTGTTTGACTTAAGGGGAATGAAGAGATGCATGCAATCTTAAATGCCTCCAAAATGTCAGATGTATATTTAGCTGCTGCTAAGACCTCACTTAACACATTGTATGCCTGGCCACTTCATTTCTGCAAGGAAATTGCTATATTTGTGTAGCAGGAAGTTTTACTTTTTAATTCCGAAACAGTGTTCAGGCCAGATGCACTGAAATCCTTTAATGCCCAACAAAGGCAACTGATCCCAGTACAGATAGTCATGAAGGAGACAGACGGCCTGTGATGGACTGTCAGCCCGTCAGGGATATTCTCCTACCTTGTGCCCTGTGTTTCCCCCTTGAATGGATAAGTGGTTAGAAGATGGATGCGTGTATGAATGGATGGATGAAGATGAAGAAGACAGAAAAGGATTGTAGAACCAGATAGGCGCAGATGGAAGCTGGGCGGAGACTGGTTTATCAAACAAGGTATTTCTTTACGTAAATGCGTGTGAGTCGAATCAGCGTCATTATTTTGAAGTTAATTTCACATTTCTTTTGCATTCAAGTTAGCAGCTATTTTTTACATATCCAAAAAAGCTAAATCTGATGAGTGATTTCCGTCGAGTCGTAGTACTTCATTTGTTCTTATCATACAAACAGAACACAAACAGCCAAAAAGCCAGCAGTGAGTTACCCAGTGACGCCTGTACCCTCTCTGTAAATCAGTTTTCTAGCAGTCAGTTACACCGGCCTGATTTAGGTGTGGATAGCATGACTGCAAAGGAAACTAGGGACAAAGATATGCAATTATACCAATATCTCATCTGGATAATTAAAGACACCAATGTGAAAAAACTACAGAGTGAATATTTCATTTTTAGCCTTTGATCCTGGACTATAAAGCATGTTTCTCTTGTTTGAGAAGGTCTTCCCTTTCTAATAAGTGACATACACATTCACACCCCCCCCCCCCCCCCCCCCCACACCCCCAGCCCCCGTGGGCTCTTTTCTCTTTAAAACATAACTCATAGTTATAAGCTGATCTCAATGTTTTTTTTAACTTCAGCTTGTTGTCTAGCCAAAATCCACCTGTTTTTAGTGAGTTTGACAGCAAATATAGGAACAAAAAAGAAAAGAGTTGTGTCTATTTAGGACATTACAATGAAATAAGATTAAACACGAAGAGCAAAGTTTGTCTTAAGGTATGAAAATTAGGAAGCTGTATTGAAATATTGGTTTGGGTTTTATGTCTCTGTTACACAGTACACCATGTCCATTAATTAGTGGATCATTCAGAGTAGAGTAAGAGGTGTATAGTTCATCCCAGTTATCTGTTAACTACCCAGCTACTAGCCAAACTAAGTGGGAAATAAATTAATGAGCTATGACAGGATGATGCTTCTTCCCAGCACCTTGACCAGGAGAAGTGGTTAGAAAGTCCACGGATCAATGGATGGATGAAAAAGATTGCACATAAAAAGTGCTGATAACAGGAGCCATATGAAAGCAAATGCATATGAATTATTAAAAAAAAGTGATATTTAAAATGTAAAGCTTGAGGTTTTCTGGGAATAGTTTTTAACTGCATGGCGTGCCTGCCACCCTTTCTCCTCTTATGGTTTTGACAAAAAGTTAGTCAGGAATTTGCGTAACAGCAAAGAGATTTACAGCAATCACCCACACCCAAACACACGCAAACACATACGCAGTCACACACACATGCATCCGCACACATGCAGAAAGATTGCCCGGCGTGTTTGCTGGAGAAGCTTCCCAGATTGCTAATTGCATTAATGATGGTTAATTAATGATAATTTCAACCAATGCACACACAGTCTACAGGTCATTAATAAAATGTGGCTAACATAAAATGAAAAATAAAGTCCAATAAAAGAACATTTTTTCGATCCATCTTGCACATGCTTATCCTGATCACGGTCAGGACTTTTTAAGGATTATTTTGTTAGAAGCTCTTTGGTATTATTGACGCTTGTGTTGTAGACAATAGGTTGTATTAAGTTACATGCGTATTACGTCACAGTTTGAGCGTAGCGGCCATTTTACCAAGGAATGTCGAATATGTTGTATGTTGCTCTGTCAGATGCAGAAAGTTCGATGCGGAATTGCTAGGACGAGTAGGAAAATAGCGGCAGGAATCCATATGATATAATATATAACAGAGTGTACATAAGATGAAGGATTTTTTCCCCAATATCGTGGCCTTGTTTACCTTCTGGGCAGCTGCATTTATGTGATTTTTAGTATGACCATATTAATTTTTCTTTTTTTTGGCCATTGTATTCGTGTGAATCTAACCTACTTGCAAGGAATGTTCAGAACATACAACTTGCCACTACTTGACAGTATCTTTCATGTTCTTTTGAATGATGGACATCGATGGAGTCTGTAGTGAGGTACCCGCTATCGTAATAATGTTATAAATTCTCCATAGCTACAAGTGTCATGCCCTGCTCATCCAATCCTCCTGTGTGCCATGCCCCCTTGTTAACCTCATGTAGAATCCCCGTGTTTACCAGCTGTTTCGTGTTATTTCCGATTAGTCCTTTGTATTTCAGTCTACGTTCGAGTATGTTTCCCTAGGTCTGTCATTGAAGTCTTCACCGTGTTGTACCTCGTCCTGCTGTTTTGTTGAATAAACCCCTCGTTCCCGACTCTCCGTCTCCCTGCTCCTGCTTCACTGCATGCGATCGTGACAGAATGATAGACCTCCAAGAAAGGAAGTTACCCCCCCTGACTGAGAATCACTACCTCGGCCTGGTAGAAGAGGTAACGTACTGGCTTGCACAGCCCGAAGTCCGGGAAGATCCCACGGCTTGGGCTCTGGCAAGCCGGAGCCGGGACATTCTCGAGGGGATGTCCCTGGTAGAAGATGTGCATCTCGCGGGAGAGGTGCATGATAATCTTAGGCAGCTGTTAAAGCGGGTGGCGGAATTGAGGACCCAGCTGGTAACCCTCAACAGTGGGATGTGCTCCGATCTGCCATAGGACCTCCCCGAAACACCCCAACCTCCACCGACAACAGGCAGGCAAAAGAAGAAGATGAAGCGGAGAAATCGGAGGCCGGAGGACAAGCCGGCGATCTTCTTGTGGGCTGTCTCCATCTCCGCTTTTTCCCCCGCTGGGTGTTGGGAGGAGCCCCTCCCAATTTTAAACCCAGCGGTGTTTGTGCCGGTAGCCGCTTCCACTGCCCCGTTTCCTGCGGCTTCGCTGCCGGCACCAGCAGCACACCCCTTTGTTGGGATGCGCCTGGCTCTTAACGGGGCCAGGTCTGTATGGGATGCCATCCCACGGGTCCCCAAGGTCCTTGAGGTCCCTGTGCCAGCAGTTCCTGCAGTGCCCCCCGTGGTCCCTGTGCAGGCGGTTCCTGCAGTGCCTCTCACGGTCCCTGTGCAGGCGGTTCCTGCAGTGCCTCTCGCAGTCCCTGTGCTGGTGGTTCCTGCTGTGCCGCCGCCCGAGGTTCCTGCTGCGCCGGCGGTGCCTGCGTTGCCCTGTACAGTTCCTGGCCCAATGGTTCTGCCCCCCATGGAGCCTGTCACTGCTCCTGTGACTCCTGCTCCTGTGACTCCTGCTCTGCCCATTCCTGCTCCTGATCCCATGCCTCCGACTCCTGATCCCATGTCTCCAGCTCCTGATCCTCCGGCTCCAGTCTCTCCGGCTCCTGACCCTGCTCCCACAACACCAGCTCCCATGACCCCAGTCCCTGTCCCCGAGGAGGTCCCGGACTGCCCGACCACCGCTCCTTTCCCCTTGTGGGAGGAGGACCCCTCTGGGATCTCCCTGATGGCCCCACTGGACCCCTCCTGGGGAATGACTCCTCCTCCACCACCACAGCAGGGCAGATCCAGGCCGGGTCCCCGCCTCTCGGTCTCCGGGAAAGGAAGGGGACACCTGCGCTGGGGTCGGGTCCCTACCACCCTGCACTCTGGCTCGCCTTCGGTTCCCCTGGCTCCTACTTGTTGATTGCCTGCGGGTCCTCCGGCTTCAGCTCTGGGGTCGTCTGCAGTACCCCTGGCTTTGGCTCGGGGGGGTTACCTTATAAAAAATAAAAAATTACTTATAGTATTTAAAATAGCACGAAGGTTTTGCTTCGTTGTTTTACAATACAATTTACACACCCATATGTATACTGAAACCTGTTGCCTGTTATTCTCTGCTTGTCTTGTGTATATTAGTCCTCGTTCAAGTCTGTTTCCCTAGGTCCGTCGTTAACGTGGTTTTTCCGTGTGCGCCCCTTTGTCCTGTCCGTTCGAAATAAACCCCGTTTGATAGTGTTCACAGCTCTCTCGCCTGCTTCCCCGCTCGCCGACACCCGGACGTCACAATTATGATTTTTTTTTTTTTTTTACCAAGTTAACCAGTTTTCTTAGTTCATAATTTAATAAAATCTGCTGATTGAGATGGTTTGATAGACAGCTGTTTTATAGCTTTAATGGCGTACTGACCGAACATTGAGTTTGTTTAAAACATGTCTTTTGTTAAAATATTCTACTTAACATCACTAGTCTAAGTAGATATATGGTTAATCTAAGAGCTGTCCGTGGTACTGAACTCGCTTCTGACAGGGTCAGGGTCTGTCAGGGTCTTCATAACACTGGTTCTCCTCTCTTGATTTAACAAATCAGGTTTCCGTTTGCACGAACATGCTGCCCGTCGACTCTTCACAATTCAAGTAAAAGCATTAAATGCTGCATTATGTCTTTCATTACAAAATGCGTAAATATGGGATTTTGAAAACAAAGCAATTACCGGGAGCATAGATGATAGGAAACGCCATGACTGAGCCCTGAGTCAAGCTCGAAGAAACGTCTTTGACAACTATAACATTGTAATAGTATTCCATATTTATAGTGGTCCACGTAAAATCCCATAGATATCGTCTCCTACAAGCAGTAATAGCAGAAAAAGCAATCTCACATCCCCTTAATTGTAAAAAGAAATGTCATTTCTAAATACCTAGGCAACAAAACAATTGCAACAAAATTTAAACGGATATATGCCAGAACACACAATTGAATACCTAATATTCCTAAATACCTAAAATTCAACGCACCTAATGCGGGACATTAATGCGCTTAAGCTATACCATATTACAGTAAAAATGGAAAGAAAGAAAATTTCACTTTATATATCATAACTCTAACAGCAATAACTTACGAATAAAAATAAAAACAAATTGTATACAGCGCGACTACAGAATCGCGTTATATATAATACGACGAGACATCACACCCCTGACCCCTCTATGTAATTTGAAACCTACGTCCCTGACTGTCATCACACTATTATTCTGAAGTAATTTTTTATTAGTTACAAGCATTGTTCGTTAGAATAAACGAGATTTTTTGCACGTGTCTTTGATTTTTGACTTTATTAACGGTAAATGATAGTTAAATATGTATCTTTCCGATCGTAAAACTCAAAGAGATTTGCATGAAAAATGCAAATTGCCTTAGGTCTCAGATTTGCACAAATGTAAGCAGATTAATTAGCATTTATCTACACGTGTTTATACAATTAATGCTGTAGAGGGTTTAGTCAGGTAAAATGCGTATTATATGGATGAATGGGACAGAAAATGCGGGGTGTTACTTTATCGTGCACAGGCGTGGATTTGTTTAAATTTGCCTGCAGCGGGTCTTGCCTGCCATCGCGTGACAATGGAACCATAACTTTAAGCTATAGTGCAACTTAACAGTCAACTCAATGGTGCCTACCGAGATAGCCAACAGGAATATCCGGTCTTGTTTCATTTATTTGCAATTCTCTCGTCTAATTAAAAGGACATATCGCCTAACTAGGTTAATAGTTGAAAGGGATAACGAATTATCTTGGTTATTATTGTCATAATTATATGAATATATATATTTATTGTCATTATATCAAGTTATGAACTAATTAAAATAGCCAGGGTTCGAATCACACAGTGGCTTTTGAAGGGGGAACTCTATTTTCCGGTGTGAATACGCATTCCAAAAGTAACATGCACGCGCATACATGCTAGTTTGCGGCAGTGAGGTCAATAACAGGGATACTGTGAAAAACATTCTACTATTACTATACTGCAGACAGTTAATACCATTAGTAACACTTCATACAGGCACATTACAAAACGTTTAATAGAATAAACACACAACACTGATATATTTATACTACTGTTTTTATTCCAGGAACCTTAATCTACGTAAAATAAAATATAAGATGTAATACAAAAGTGGATATTTTTAGAGCTCCCCCTAAACATCTCACGGGAGGGTTTTTTGGATAAGCCAAGCTCCCCTTAGCTCCCCCCTAATTCGGGATTCATTAATTCTTATCAATGCTAATATCCCTATATTACTGTAAGACACAATTTTACAATGTAAATCCAAGACGGCAGAAGATTGGCCAAACACAGGAAAGGCTCTGCGTATAATTATGATTTTAAAATTCGTGCCCATATTGTTGGCTATTAAACGCAATTAGTAAACGTAGGCCTATATATCTGAACACTTGTAATATATTATAATAAAAGCCAAACCGTGGGTTATCAATTGTGGTCAATAGGCCTAATAAATTTAATTTCTTTCGTAGACGACTTTGTGTGATTTTTCCTAACCTTCATAATGAGACTGATTGCCTAAAACTGACGAAGAAATTTCTAAGCACATCGTAAACGCAAATCACACCTGATCACACCTGAACTCCTTAAATAAAAATATCTAAATTAATAATTATTTACAGATAACAATGAGATGCACAACTTTGGTTATAATATGTAATATATAATTTGAAAAGAATTTACGTCAGTCATGTCTGTACGTTTGGTTAAACGTACTATACAACCATACTCTCTCTCTCTATATATATATATAGGCTATGTTGCCAACGAGCGATTAAAACGAATACCGCGTATCGAACCCGCAATTCTGACAATGTAGTGGCCGCCACGCGGGTCACGACTCGAGAGAAGCAGTCACTTATCCTGTTAGAAGGCGAGGGTCTAATCAAACTGTTCCCAGTGTGTGGGGTTATGACAATCCAGGGGAGCTACAGTTAGAGAGAGAGAGACACACAGAAATAGAGAGAGAGAAAGAGGGAGGGAGAGAAGGAGGAGGGGGGACGGAGATCACTTCGAAGGAAAAGAAAAATATATATAAACCACTCGTCGCTAGCGAACTAAAATGCGATGTGTTAGTGCAGCGTTTGGGATAAATGATTTCATTAGGAACTTATGAAAACTATATACGTGTTGGGTCGTTTGAGAGCCAAAGCACCGGACTGAAGCACTGAAGTCTATACATTCATGTAAAGTAAGTGAGAACTCGGACATAACTCGGGTAAAGTATGATATGCATACCAGGGTACAGTTTCCGATAAATAATTTTTAACTTGTCACGTTTAAGAAGTGTCAAAGAAACGGACTGCGCATTGCAGTATAAAATTAACTGCAGAAGAAAAGCAGAGGCAAATTGTGCAATGTGCAAAAAGTCGATTTTTATTAGGCTATAGTTTGCATGTTATAATAGTACAACCAGAATACTACAAATTTACGTTCTTAAATTTGGAGACGATGTGCAAATGGGGTAACTCACTTAGATGTAACATATCTTCTGTAGCTGACAGGACCGTTTCGCAGACCTCGTTAAACAATCGGTTCGGCAACTGCTGTGGTTGCGGCGTAATTTGATATTCAAAATAAATTTCGAAATGTGTGGATTTATAAAAGGTATATGCCTACTTCGGAAGACTTTTTAATGTCTAGCTCCTTTTTACTGATGTATGTTAACACCTAATCATTAATAGCCTAAGTTGTTGATTAAAATATAGTTTATTTTGTATGAACATAATATTTGGAAAATGACATTGTTCTTTAGTTTCATATTAAGAAACACTTAAGAAAATCTGATTTACCTATTCGAATGACATTTTATTTTTTTAATCCCTTCCGTCGTAGATACCAGGATGACTAGCGAGGAGATATCTGAGGTCATTCGAGCATCGCCACGTTCTTTACTATTGACGTCGCTCTCTTTGCTTGTGACTGTACGCCTGTGTTTGTGGATCCAGCGGTACCTGCGCCTTCACAGCCCCCCGGGACCGTTTCCTTGGCCCATTGTCGGAAATGCCGCTCAGCTTGGATGCGCGCCTCACCTGTACTTCACTCGTATGGCAAAGAAATACGGTAATGTTTTCCAGATCAAGCTCGGTAGCCGGACCGTCGTGGTCCTTAACGGTGATGTTATCAGGACGGCGCTCATCAAAAAAGGAGCTGATTTTGCCGGTCGGCCAGATTTTACTTCTTTTCGGGTCGTTTCAAATGGCAAGAGCATGGCTTTCGGTAACTACAGCGAGCAGTGGAAAGCGCATCGGAAGGTCGCACAGTCCACGGTCCGGGCGTTCACCACCATCAACATGAAAACCAAAAAGACGCTTGAGAGTCACGTTGTGAGCGAGGTCAGGGAACTGCTCTACCTCTTCTTGGAAAAATCAGCAGAAAAGAAGTACTTTGAACCGCGGTCATACCTCATTATATCCATCGCAAACGTAATGAGTGCCGTTTGTTTTGGGAAGAGGTACTCTTACACCGATTCGGAGTTTCGAACGATTGTGGGGAGAAACGATCAATTCACCAAAACGGTGGGTGCTGGGAGTATCGTGGACGTCATGCCTTGGCTTCAGTATTTTCCAAACCCGATTAAATCTATATTTATTAATTTTAAAAAACTCAACGCGGAGTTCTACGATTTCATCCAAAACAAAGTTTCCGAGCACCGGAAAACGATTAAGTCTAGCATCATTCGAGACATGACTGATGCTTTTATTTTTGCCATGAATCGGAAACTAACTGGCCCGCTCGGTGTTTTCCTGGACAAAGAACGCATCTGCCCCATGATAACCGACATTTTTGGAGCAAGTCAAGATACACTATCAACCGCTTTGCAATGGATCATACTGATACTTGTAAGGTAACGATTCAACCGAATGATTTTCTGAGCAATATCATAACTAATTTAGCTACCCCAATGGGACGACGGAACCAATAGGTAGCCTAATGTTCCCAAGTTTCATTAGTATGGAAGTGTGGATTGCTATTTCTGGGTTACTGAATTCTTTTAAAATATTTTGACATTTTAATTGCTTGGCGCGTTTTGAAGCAGTGGTGTTCTGTTGTACAGTATAATGTGTAAAAGTGCTTCCGCGTTTGGCATGCATTTCCACTGTATCTAGGAGCACATAGATTATGCACCACAAACCGTCTAATAGGCCTATGTTTCAGAGAAGAATGTTGCAGGAATATCTGTTGACCACGGTTATTAATGAGTTATTTACCGCCCAAACTTAGCCAGCACCCCCCCCCCCCCTTTTCCCGACTGACCCTCATCTTCCTCCTTGAAATCAATTGCCTGGTGATCTCTGAAATTAGGGTCTTCACAGGGAACCATTAACTTGTTCCTTTCCTTTAGATTTCATCTCAGTCGCTACTGTCATTTCAGTACTGCAAGGTGTCTTCTATCCCAAAAATTGCGTCAAAAGATGCATATGGAGAACCTGGAGAGAAGAGAAGCCTGATTTTATTCTGATGCTTATGAAATAGGAATAAGAAATCATCTTTTAATTATCAGTTTGAAAGGAGTGCAAGTTCATTTTTAAAAATGAGAAAAGGTATTCTGTATTTGAAGGAAGGTCTTAGATGCCATAAAATAGTATATTATTCACCCATATGTATTTGTGTGGGTACATTTGCCATTGAAAGTAGTGTCTAGCTTATAACTGCCGTCCTTTTCCTTTTCGACGTCACAGATTTCCTGATGTCCAAGCACGACTTCGGGAAGAGGTCGACAAAGTGGTGGACCGGAGCAGACTCCCGACCATCGAGGACCAGAGTCAATTGCCGTACGTCATGGCCTTTCTCCACGAGGTCATGCGATACACCAGCTTCATCCCTGTCACCATCCCACATGCAACAACCAACAACACTACCATTGAAGGCTACCACATCCCTAAGGGCACCGTGGTCTTCATTAACCAGTGGTCTGTCAATCATGACCCTGGCAGGTGGATGAATCCAGAAGTTTTTAACCCCCTGAGATTCCTGGATGCCAGTGGGGCTCTGGATAAAGATCTGAGCAGCAATGTTCTGATATTCTCAATGGGAAAGCGCCGCTGCATAGGGGAGGAACTGTCCAAGATAAAGCTCTTCCTTTACACATCCCTGCTGGCTCATCAGTGCCTCTTCTCAGCCGACCCAGAAAGCCCCCCCAAAATGGATTTCGAGTACGGCCTGTCCCTGAAGCCCAAAAACTTCAAAATAACAGTCACACACCGTGACACCATGGACCTGTTGGACTCCTCTGTGGAGAAGCTGTTGGATGGTGTGAAAACAGAAGATAGAGCGGGTTAAGCAAAAACGAAACAAAGAAGACTATGAATGAAGGCATAAGGAAGTGCAAGTGAAGTAGAATGGCTATGATTTCCTAACATAGAAATATATATTTATAGAGACTCAAACAAAACATAGTATATTTTTATATAATTTCTAAACAGGGCATAATCATCTGAAGGACTTTTAATCTGCTTGATAGACAAATAAAAGTGCAATAGGAATTCAGAATATAAATTTACACACATATAACATAAAGCTGCCATGCATGAGAGCATGGAAACACAGTTTTAAAGCTTGAGTCTCTACATGCCAGTCCGTAATGCTGATCACAGGCAGGCTTGAGAGTGTGCTCGCCAACACAGTATGAGAGAGACTTTTAGTCAGCATTTCTCATAAGCTAAGCTTCATAAGTAGTTAGGCTGTCCAAAGACATGTGTCTGATCATAAAAATAGGCCCACAAGTGCTCAGATTTTGTCTGTTTCATGGTACTAAGAAACAAATTGACACATTTTAGGTCTTTTTTGGATCTATGGATCTCATAAAACACGATTAATATTTGTCAAGGGTTTTACTTTACATTTAATGTTCAAACTTGTATGCTTCACTTTTAGCAGTACAATATGGTAGCTTGACTCGCATAGTTTCACTGCAAAAAAAAAACAATAAAGATTATCATGGTGCTGAATTTCAAGCACAGATTTTCCAAATGTTCAGAATAGTTTTGGACAAACTGCACACTGGATCACCATTTCTGCATGTTTACTTACATAGAAAATATCTTACTGAAAAGTCTTATAACTGTTCTTGGGTGTGTATCATAGCACAGTATGAAATAATCTCTGGGTTTATCACAATATCAAAAAGTATTTAAAAAAATTATGTAACAGTATGGTAGGATGTATAAAAACAAACAGGCCTGATTAAATTGTCCTAGCAAAATTTGAAGAGTTAGGGTGTAAATGGAGAATATGATTAACAGGTACATGCCCAAAGTGCTGGCATTTGTAGAAGACTTGAATATATACAGGAATATATAATGTAATGTTTGTTTTGTACACGCTTCAGATTTTCAGGATTTAAGATACAGGGTAGCCTGTGTGTATGAACTACTGTATTCATGCATTTATTAAAAATGCTTCACTCACCTGACGTGTATTAGACCAGGATATTTTCGTACCTATATTTCTGCAGTGTTGATCAAAGCACTATCAATTTTTATGTGTTTTGATGTATATGATTCAGGGATTGTCTAGTCTTGTTAACTGCTTTATTTCATGTAGAAGCTCAAATATACACAGTGGTTAAATATCTCTGTAAAGTTTAAACCCTGCTAATTAACCCTTAATTTAACAAGCTTCATAGTAGGAGTTTGCCAGTTTTATACATTTTAAGAAATTTGTAATATATTTACTAGGGGTGTGCTATCACTGTAAAAGCATTATATTTATAGTTAAGATAATCATATATCATTTTATGACTTTTTAAAATAAAATGTAAGTAGATTTTTACAAAGCCTTTTGATGTTGTCATTACTATCATCCATCTACAAGACAAGTCATGTCATTTCTTTAATCTTTTCAGCAGATTTGAAACTGAAACGAAAGCTGTAACCTTTAAAGACCTTTAGAGAAATTCAGTGATGAGCTGAGTCAGTTTAATGCAAAGAAACACTGCAACTTCTGACAGCGGTGTGTTGCATTATGGGTATTTTTTCATATAACCAGACACCAAAAGGGTTTGCGATAAACCATTCCCTGCACAATTCTTTAGCTGGGCCTTCCAGAACATCCTGTACTTTATCAGAGGCCTATAGCAAGCCAGTGAGCTCTGAGTGCGTGACAAGTTTAGATAAGGTAAGCAGATGGCTGATACCCTCCCCACTATGCACCCATCATAAAAAGGAAGAACTTTCCTTACATTTCACCTGAATAGAATTCTTTAAATGTCTATTAAAAGCTGACTTAGGTAATCACAGAAATTTCATTAAATAAATTATTTCTTGGGAATTACGAAGCATCTGAAGGTAAAATGTTAAGGTATGTACAGTATTAATAAGAAAATGGCCTGCAGCAATATACAGACGCTCCCTGGGTTATGATGGTCCATATTACGATATTTTGACTTTACGACGGGTAAATGTTTTTCACTTTCAGTACCTTATTCAACAAATGACATGAGATGTTCAACACTTTATTATAAAACAGGCATTGTGTCAATGATTTTTAATTGTAGGCTAATGTAAGTGCTCTAAGCATGTTTTTAGGGTAGGCTAGGCTAGTCTAGGCCAGGGGTCTCCAACTGTGGTCCTAGAGAGCTACCGTCCAGTAGGTTTTCTATCATACCCAGCTTCTGATGAGCCACAGCTGTTCTCAGGTAAATACCAGGAATAGGTGTGACTCATCAGAAGCCAAGTGGGACAGAAAACCTACTGGATAGTAGCTCTCCAGGACCAGAGTTGGAGACCCCTGGTCTAGGCTATGATGTTTGTTAGGTTAGGTGTACTGTATTAAAACACATTTTCGCCTTACGATATTAGCACCTTACAATAGGTTTATCTGAACGTAACCCCATCATAACCTGGGGAGTGTCTGTACAAGCAATACACTTTGAACAGAAAGAAAAAGGTGCACTGAAAGCATAACCTAGGGAATACATTTTGGTACTGTGAAACTGATAACAATTACCATTTTTGCTAAGTGGCAGCCCGTTTACCAGAAATGCTGGTCCCAGTTTAACTTAACAGACACTCCTGCATTGTAAGCACTGACGAGAGTGAGAATAAACACATACTGGCTGAAATGCATCAGGGTGAGCCATAGACCGTGGAGTCTTCCTATTATAGACAGCAGAACAAACTTTACCTCCAATATGCCTGTCACTGTTAGTCAAGTTACATGAAGGCCAGGAGTCTGAGCATCATCTCCATCAGTAGCAGCAGAACATCGCAGCAGTGATGCAGGCAGCAAGAGAGCAAAGCGCTTGTAACAGCAAGACTGCTAGTTCATGTCCCAGAAAGCAGTGGTATTTCGGAATCTGGGACCTGATTTAGTTCACGTATCCAGTTGTATAAAGAGTTAAATAGTAAGTTGCTTTTTTTTTTATTTTGGGGGGGGGGGGTACATGCCCCCCCAGTTCCTAGGTCCCTCGATGTATGAACAAAACACAGGCAGAGGCATCAGCACATCAGCTAAGACACATAATAATGACAAAAGGGGGACTCGACTCATTTGCAAATTCTGTATTGCCTGTTATATTCTTGTTTAATTCAACAATAAAGATACAGGCCACCCTGGCTTGTTAAGGTATTTATATCTTCATGCAGAATCTCCATTAATATTTATGGCCCTAATCCCTGTCCTAACCTTAACCATAAGTAACGAAACAAAACACAAGACTTGTGGCATATTTAATTCTTCAATTGCATTCACAGATTAAAAAAAGAAAACGTAAAAAAAAAAATTCCCGTCTTGTGGAGCGAAAATAACTAGGTGAAAATAACAGATTTTACCACATTGTGGGGACATTAGGACCCACATGAATAACCACACACAGAAATACTTGTCCAACACAAACCCCAGCCTTTCAATTCCTTCGAGCCACAATCATCAAACTAAAATCCACTGGATAATCCAGGCAGAGACAAAACACAATGATTCCTCTGCATAAAACCAAAAACTTATAGAGCCCAGGCTTACAGGATGGTAAGAACTCCATCAGCATGCTCAGAAGCACTAATGAGCTACGGCAAATAGATGAACATACTCACCTAGCTGTACTTACACTATGGTTGCCAAATGGCCTCAGTCTGTCAAATTATGACAAAGATTACAAACTACTGCTTGTTGAGACATTGCACTGAAAAAAAAATTCTGGCCGACTTTGTATTAGCAAAAGAGAGCTTAGCCTCTAAAGCATCTTCAACTCAAAACTCGTGCAAATACACAGTTTGTCAGTGAATGGAAGAAAGACAACTCAGCCAAAATATTAGGTTTTTCAGGTGTAAACCATTTTCTCTGGGGTGGTGTAACGTTAACTAATTCTAATATAAACTATGACTGTGGAGAACTGTATTAATTTACAAATTTCTTCTTTTAATATCCTGTACATACATAACCATGGTGCAAATTTTAAACCATTTTTTCAAAATGGCTACTTAGATATTGCTAAATTAATAATCTTTATCTATATAGTACTTTTTTGTACATGGAATGCACCTCAATGTGCTTCACATTTGGGATTAAAATAAAACCAAAGACAGAAAAGTAACCAACATACAGGTCATTGAAACTGGAGAAAACTCAAATAAATCTAAATGAAATAAGCGAGATTAAATAAAAGCTAAACAAATGAAAAAATAAAACAGGATATATAAAACACAAAGGAATGAAAAGGTACAAAACAATTAGTCACTTTTAAAACAGAAAATGCTCCAGATTAGTAGCTGATGCAAGTGGGATAGGTCATAAGTACCCGTTTGGTGTTCAGGGAGCTTTGCGTGAAGGTGAGCTTGGATGTTGTGCAAGGATGGCCTCATCAATGTGCTCTGATGAGCTAGTTCCCACCCACATCCCGGCAGGAGTAAAATTCCCCATCTATGCCAGGTGTTTGAGATAACTGTACGGAACAGGAACAGCTGTAATAAACTGACAAATAGTGGAAAAAATGATTCACTTTTTCAGACAACTCCCATTTCCACAACAGAATTTTCATACCCAGACACCCATTTCATACAAAGTGGTGACTAACCTTGGACAGACATGTCTGTCCCTAATAAATCCAGTATTAATAAACAAAACTGATTAAATACTGTAACATATTACCTGCTGCATTACAAGAGTGAGATGGGAGACGTGGACAAAACCTGACAATCTCTAGAGTGGCTCATAAACATATTTACAGCTTTTGGTGCTGGGAACTCGACGAACAAAACTACATTTTACCGTTAATAGTTAAGCAAAAACCGTGAGAAAAATGCATACATTGGATTACGACCAAAAGTCAAGATTTGTTATACAGAAATTCCCCTTTTACCAAAAAAACAAAGTTAAAAACTGTCATACAACAACATCCAAAAGCCACTATAATTTTAATATTGTCTTTATTAATCATGACAAAAAGAACATTCTAAAATTATGTTTTGTAGTTGTAAAACAACAGTCAATGGCTTTTATATAGAGTTAACAAACTGCAAATATAATTAGTGTATGAGAAACTGAACATTGCTAAAATTTAAAATACGTTTATGAGGAACATAAAAAAATATAATCTCTATCATTTAAAGTATTCCATCAATTAAAACATATTTCAGAACCGTTTATAGCTCCAAAAGCACCAAATTCTGAGATGTACCTTAACAGAAAAACATTTAAATGATCCCATGCAAAAAAAAAAATCAATGTTAACAAAGATAGAGTAAGAAAAATAAACTGTCCACATCTCTGCTTCAATCAAGCTGCACCTTAAATAGATGAAAATTTCTTATAATATTCAAATACCCAAAAATACAGAAATACCCACAAGTTAAATTCAAATCGAACACAGGTCCCTTCTGATTTTTTAAATGCCTGCCTTTCGTTCCATCATACTTGTAAAACATGTTAAAACATAGCCATTAATTCTAGCTGCCCAGTGCAGGAAATATGACACACTTAAAAATTATTACTGGTTCTTTGCACTGCGGTAAAACAGACTGACTGCCTTTGGAATCACAAGTAATCTGTCAGGAATAAGCAAATGTGACCCCGGTGGTATGATCTGACGGGGCTGGGTTAGGCAGAGTGGCGGCAGAGAAGGGCAGGTAATGTTCAAAGTGGTACAAGCCTGCTTCAGTTAGAGCAGAAATCTGGTGCATAGATAAATCATGCCAAATGCAAAAAAGAATGTAACTGCTTATCCAGTACTGATTCATAGTGTGTATATTACTGCAGGGATGGCATTTTAACCTATGACACAGAAATGGTGACTGGGTGATCACTGGCCATGTGCACGTCATTGCATAACAGAGGAGCAGAAACATCAGGCACCGTTATAATGATGGGGCAAGAAGTGAACATTAGCATCAGCTGAGATGGTTAGCACAGTTAAGTCAGAATGAGTGGTTTTGTCTTTCATCTCATTTCATATCTCTAACTTCCCCCGGCGTCAGTCAGCTTCCTCGAAGCTGATTTTTGTCAGGTTCCCAGACAAAACGCAAAACCAGACAGTCTCTCCTGACCTTCTGTTATGGTCCTGATATCACTGACATGACTGCTCAGGTCCCAGTGCTGAGAATCCAGTGGGTGTGGGACAAGGCCACACCATTAACATCAAGTAACCTTGAAAGCATTTGTCTGATTGGAATCATCTTGGTTGTCTCACATTTAACCAGAATTAATGAGTGCCTTGGTGCAATTTCCTGGACAGAAGACTCAACTGTGGTATTATCTGATCAGAGTTTAACAGTTCGGGCATCATACTTTCCAACTGGACCTGGTCCTTGCTTATTTGGAATATGCAGCTATGGGGGAGGGGGGGGGCAGGAAAACTCAGATGGTGCTGAGAAGCACAGAGGTGCTACAGTAGGCATGGATGGTAGTCACTTGGATGTAAGCTTTGCAGATTCCTTCAGCCAGAGCTCCAGCACCATCAGAAACTGATTGAAGAGAGGAGAGACTCAAGCATCGTCTGAGCTTCCTCATCCTATAAGACAACAGCACCAAGTCACGCCGTCAGACAGCAAACCCCCAGTGTTATGCAGGCTAAACAAAGAACGAATGGATATCACCAGCTGTCTGCTAGAAATAAATGCATAATAATTGGTAATAAGGACCTTAACTGCTTAAGCCAAAATACCATAGGGGCCAAAGGAATGTTCAGAATTAGAAAACGTCATTATGCAGCAAATGACTGCAGAGGTTAGTATGTGCTTACACAGTACATACTGAGTTTTGTTAGAAGCCTACTACTCAACCATTAATTTAATGCATACTGTATGTATGCATGAGAACAGTACTAATGCACTTGGACACACTGTGGTTGGCATCTTGCACATTACCTGACCTGGATGGGTACCAATGACGTAGCTTGACCACCCAAAAAATTAAAAACTGTTACAAACTATCAATGGAAAAATACATATTTGAGTCAACTTGATACATACTGCTACATGACACATTGCATACTATATTTCGCCTACTACATAGTAAACAAGTAAGCAATTTTGGATGCACACAATGTCACTTTTAACAGAGGTGTCGGTATGCATGGTGAAAACGTAGTGGATGTGTGGTGAGGGACGAGCACCACATTTCATATATACCAACCTCTTTGGAAAATATGCGCAGGGCAGAAGCAGCCTCACACATTTTTCTCGCCTCCTGCATCTGTCCAAGGTCCTTGTAACACTGAGGAAGGAACAATTATGCATGAATATGAGAGAAGGATGCAAATATACTTTAAAAACTGAGACTACATTTAAAGGGCAAAAACGCACTAGAAAGTAAGGATACATTCAACTCCTCCAGGAGAAACATGCAAATAGGCAATTCAACTGCACACACCATGAAGTGAGTAGGAGTGCATGAAAGAATATTAATTTGTGGAATAAAAAGAGAAAAAAATTGACCAGGTCTCAAAAAACACTCAACTAAAGGCTTCGCTTACCTTAGCTATAAATACATAGTTGAACTTCGAATATTTAGGTTGAATTTCCTCTACCTGTCGGCCAAAGTAAACATTCATGACAAAGCAGCAATGACTCGTGGGTATTTATGGTTGCAGAACTTTGAAGGACAGTTTAATGATTCATTCTGGAAAGAAAATAAACTGGAATCTGCTTGGATGTGTTTCTTCATCAAATTTTATATTCAGTGGTCGGACGTGCACAAAGCAATGAATACAGGCAAGATATTTAGGGGAGATTACATTGGAGAAGCCCCAATCACATTCATTTCCTTCTCTAAAAAGTCAATGGACCACATAATTTCTTGATGCATCAGTGATGCCTTCTATTTCAGTAGTGAAACATTTATATTCTTCATAGGAAAACAGAACACCAGTCTGGCAGGTACGTTTCACTTGCCCGTTTCAGAAAAACATGTTTCCCAACCACGAAGTGATAGAACGGAAAAGGTGATGAGGTTCTTTTCACTGCACTTGTTGGTTCTGGCTTCTCTCAAACACCAAGCCATTGCTCAACAATTTATATCGATTGCAAAAATATACGAGAATCACAGACTTTTTTTTTTTTTGTTTGCTCCGAGCAAAAATGATATATGTGATTAACTTGTTCACAAGGATTAGAGAGAAATGAGAACGACTTGGGAGACCCAGATGGTGTATAAGATGCAAGGATGTGTTCATTGAAGTCAGGCGGCTTTGTCAAGCTCCTTAGGCAAAGCATAACAAGTCACAACACAAACCACTTACATAAATCCCATGGCAGAAATGCACATGATGTGAGGAAGCATAACTCATATGATTGTGGGCTAGAAGCAATTTCATTTCTTTATATAAACAAACATAACATTTGAACAAAGCCCAAAGTCTTTTTGAAATGTAAACAGTCCGGGCTTAAAAATGCAGTGCAAAAGGGTATTTACCTCGACACAGTAATGCACAGACTGGGTCCCGCTATGCGCTGCCATTTGTGGAAGATACCACAGCTTTTGGGACACTGGATTAGGTATGTGAGAACATGCAAACACATGCACTAAAGCAAGTCACACAAACATCTAAATTTACAAGCAGACGCACGTACACAAACAGATAGGACAAAAAAAAAAACCACACAGGGATGCACGCTATAAACATGTAAACAGACCAACATGCGTTCATCATCGTTTAGATGAGTGCTCATCACTAGAAGAGCATGAGTTTAAGTGGTATTAAGTACCACGGAACAGCTGCGTTTTCTTCCGTTGTAAGGTTTATATTTTGCGAGGATTCAGCACCCAACCAAATAGGACTTCACAAGGCACCAATGCCACCAGTTTTCTGGGGCTATCAGGCATGTCCTATTACATAAAAAACACCCAGCATGACCAGTGTGCAAGCATGATACCTTGAGGAAATTCCTTAATGCGTCATGGACAGTGGCACTGGGAGGCTCTCCAAACAATGTAGCTGCTATTTTCCTCTCTATCCAAGACAGCTGGGCCACCTGCATGCAACCAAGTATCTGAGGTGAGTCATTCTGCATTCCACACAACAAACCATCAATGAGTGACTCTGTTGGTATATAAACAAAATGAATAAAATTTTAAAATAAATAGCATTAAACCAAATACCTACAGAACTAAAAGGACATTGTGAAATCAACCGGTCATCTGCGAATTGGCTTGAATGATATTTTGATGTTGATAAAATAAAGGGTTATGATGTGAACACATAACCAAAAGATTTTACTGGAGGAGTATTGTTATATATTTACTCAGCTGGTAATTCTTTAAAGAGCAACTATTTTTGTCTACTTATAGAGCTGAATTGTTGACGGAGGTTTACGATGGTTGGTGTCTCCTGGAGCGGCCACATCTCCTTAAGCACCACCCTACCCTGCTGTACCCCTGAAGCACTGCAGCAAAATACCTGCATAGGGACTGGAACTGTGCCCAAAAATAAACAAAATCCCAACCATTTAGACCAGTACTACACAACCTGCTCCTCAGGGGCTCCCAAATTCACGTTTTTGTTCTTGGTAGGGAGCTGGGAGGGAGCAAAAGCACGGACTGTCTGAGGACTGGATTGAGAAACACTGCTTTAGATAACAAGTAGTAGGAGAGAACGTCTTAGACAATACAGTAATGGCATGGGAGGCCCCCCAAGGAGGACATGCTCCACTGAAGTCACTATCAAATGATGTGGGAATGATATTCCGGTCAGGAAATGGGGCCCAAGCAAACAAACTATGCCACTAAGGGAGACGAGGACACCTGTAATTACATAATCACATGAATCGCTTAGCACATCAAACCGGGACCCCACATGCAGATTCATCTTCTTGAAGGAGCGAACAGTGTTTGCAAAGGTGAACTGGTGACCTGTGCCATGACAACCCCCCCCCCCCCCCCCCCCACCCATAACTAAATGTTCCAAGATGATGAGCAGAAGTGAGGGTTCCAGGTCTGACGTTCCGTGGTCATTCCATGGAGTAAATACAGGTGTCCTCAACATGATGTCACTGCATGGCTTTTCCCGGAATTCCAGTGTGTGACTGCACAAACCTACCCGGTGCTTACAGAGAAGCCTCTTGAAGCAATTACACAGATAGAGCTCTTCAAAACATGATTAGTAGTATGTGTTTATGGTTTGTTCATTCCATCATCCTGAGTGACAAGGCCGTTCCGTTTGACCTTTGCCACAGAAGTCAGTGCGTGAGAAAGCAAGTGACATCATAGGGAAGAAGATGGAAACGACCCTTTCCTGTGTAGCCTGGAGACTCTTTAAAAGCAGATTGAAAACATGTTTGGCCCCCGCTACACTCATTATATTGTGTCTCTTGAAAGTGTTCTGCAATGATGGTAAAAAAAAATGTTACATCGTTTGGCAGTGTAACCAAATGAAAATAATTCCTTTGAAGATGCCACCTAGCAACACCTTAGCAACCACCTAGAATAGCATTGACTTATACAAAGTTTCACTTCACTACTGTATGTCCTCCAGCACATTTGTTCTCAGTTCATATTGCTTTCAAAGCAGAAGGTGATTTTTGTTTATAAACAATCTAGGTTTAAATATAACTATGTTGCAAATGGCTCTAAAATCAGACCTGACAACCATGTGGTTAATTGGAAAGACTCATTTTAACATATTAACCCTCAACAAAATAAAACAAATATTGTAAATTATAATATTTTTAACAATGTTTTAAAATTAAATGAACAAAATAGCATATATAGTTTGCCTTTTCCCTCCATCAACCTCCCCATGAGACGTTAACCGAATGGTTTGATTTTAGCTGTGAATGCTGAGACTCTGTGTAACATTAAAGCCAAAGGTCTTGTGCTGTCTGAAACCAGGAAGAAACACTATTGCTGATTTGTATTAAAACATTTTAATGAAGCCCTAATTTTAATGCACAGGTTAAGCATATCAATATGAATGGCGCTGTGTTATTGAATATCTCATTTTGAAAAACCATCTATATACTGTATAAATTCAATACAAGCTACCGCCCAGCCCTAGCATTAGCAATGTGGCGATTTTCTGTATGCTTTTCACAGTTTTAGTCACTTACAGCGTAGCACCAGCGGCCCAGGAGATAGTAGGACAGGGGATCTTCAGGATTCAGCTCTATGGCTCTGTCAAGGTGATCCTACAAAGCAGAAGGTAACAGTGTCACTGTCCCACACGGAGCATGTTCCTCCGCGCTGCCTGTCCCGTCCTGCTTGACTGTACCCTCAGTTTCTCACATCACGCGCGCCTGTCTCCCTTACCTGTCTGTCGTGCATTTCTCCGCTCTCCCCTACGCCTTCTCTCTTTGTGATTTAATTCCCCCCCTCCGCCTGTTGACAGCTTGGTTCTCACAGGGCTCCACACACAATCGCTCTGTTTTAGAAAAGCCTGACAGGTGATGCGAGCGGTACGTGCGGAGCTTCCATCCGCCGCGGTTATGCAACCCACCAACACTATAACCGCCAGCACTACTGCCGGCCCAAGCCAGCGGTGAGAGGTTCGGCGGGCTAAGCCTCTGCACCCACGATCAGAGCATCTCTGGTTCGCGCCCTGGCCTCGGCAGAATAGGCACATATCTGTGGGCCCGATCAAGACCCTTAACCCCCAGGTCCAGGGATGCTGCACATGGGCTGAACTTGTTCTGCGACCCCCAAGCTATGGAGACCAAAATGGGGTATTATTATTATCGTCATCTGACAGATAATGGCTAGCAACCAGTCACACGCCTGACCTGCTCCCATCGAACATATCCACTGTCATATTACTCGATCAGATCCCGGCAGTCGCTGCTCCGTAACAGACTCTTCTGGGCAGTGGTGGCCTAATGGATGGGAAAGTGCCCTTAAATTCGAAAGACTGCTGGTTCGAATCCCCGAGCAGCAACGTACCACCAAGGTACCCTGAGCAAGGTATTACCCCCAAGCACTGGGCAGAGAACATATTTTGTTGTTGCGTGCTGTGGTGTCTCAACAATGAGAACTAATCACTTTAATTTCAGCCACTTTATGAGACATGATCACACTCAGGCCAAATTGTCGCACAAAACATTTTCGATTTACTTTCTGACTTAGTGGTGGCCCAGCCTTACCCTGCTGTGTGACAACCTGCTACAAGTCAGCACTGTATCATTCTCAAAGAATTTCCCCATTGTGGGATTAATAAAGTCTAATCTAATCTAATCTACAAGCACTACAATATTAAAGGGCTGACATCTGAAGCATATTTATCTATTATTGCTTTTTCTTCTCGCAACCTTTCATAATGTTCAACAGCTGATACAGTTGGAGACACGTACACTGATCTCAACCCTGAATCCACAGCCCAGTTTTCAAATTGTTTAATATGAGGTGATGCTTTTGATGGATCCACATTTATATTGTTCAAAAATCACAGGCTGAGCCGTCAACAGGCATCCGGAAATTGTCACACATGATATTCAGTGTTTGGGGGAGATGAACAAATCAGTAATAATCAGCGGGCCCGGAAGGTTCTGATCCATCGCAGACAACTTCCAGGGTAGGTAATGCACTTCTCCTGTGTCCCCTATTCTCTTTTATATCTTATATTTCATATTATTTATTGTGTGGTTTTAGTAATTTATGGGCATATTTATAATGCATTCATGTATCATTATGAATATGGCTATAAATATTTATAAAGAGGCATAACACATTATAGCCATGTTTATTATGTATTATGAATGCCTTATGAAGCTCTCATTAATGCATTATAGATATTGGTATAATGCAGTGCAACGTGTCCTTAATGCTTATACCGACCATTATAATGCATTATAAAGGTATCTATAGTGTATTATAGATGACAGCTTCATAGAGCATTCAT